TGGGTGATCTTCCTCGTGGTCGCTTTCCCTCTACCTTTCCCTCGACTATTAGCAGCTGCAGTGAGTCCGTTCTTCTAGCAATGTGACCAATATATGTCAGAAAACATCGGTTTATTTTTTTTGAGAGGCTGAGTTGTGAGTTTAGTTCTTGGAGAACTGACTCATTCGTACGATGGGCTGTCCAAGGTATACGTAGCAGACGTCTATATGCCCACATTTCAAAAGCATCTATTCGCCTGGTATCGCTTTTCTTCAGCGTCCATGTTTCCGCCCCATACGTAGCAATCGGGAAAACAAGCGAGTTCAGCAGTCTTAGTTTGGTATTCTTAGTGATGGCTGTATCTTTCCATATCTTAGTTAATTTAGTTACGGCTGTTCTAGCCAGCGCAATTCTACGTCTTATTTCGCCTTCGCATGAGCCGCTGTTGTCGATTAGCGATCCCAGATATAAGTATTTATTAACCACCTTAAATCCAGCTATGTTTCCCACGTGAGGTTGGTTGTTGTTTTGTCGGTCCACAATCATGACAGTAGTTTTGTTAGGATTAAGTTTTAGCCCAAATTCTGTACTAGTTTCTTGGAGACGTTGCATAATAAATTCCATTTCTTCCACACTTGATGTTATGATTAGTGTATCGTCGGCATATCTTAGATTATTGATTTTCCTTCCCCCCACAGATACTCCACCTTGCCAGTTATCGAGAATATCACGCATTATGTACTCGGTATAAATATTGAACAATAGGGGTGAGAGAACACACCCCTGCCTGACACCCTTCATTGCTTGAAATCTATTTGATGTGACATCATTAATTCTTATAAGTCCGTAATTATGTTGGTATAGTTGTCGGATAAGTAGAATAAGGTGATCAGGAACCCCCATTTCCTTGAGTATTTGCCAAAGTTTTTGCCACTTGACTAGATCGAAGGCCTTAGAATAGTCGATAAAACAGAGATACATTTCTATGTTGAATTCTCGCGCTTTTTCTATTAACTGTCGTACGTTCCCTATCTGTTCTCTGGTACCCTTACCAGGCATAAAGCCAGTTTGTTCTTCTGCAATCTGTGGTAGTAGATATGGCCTGAGTCTGTTGTTAATAATCTGCAGGAGAATTTTGCATGCATGAGGAATTAAAGCAATCATTCGATAGTTATTGCAGTCTGCCGGATTACCCTTTTTATATAGTGGTATATATAGCGAGCTGCACCAGTCGTCTGGCCAAATTCCCGTCTTCCAAATCAGATTGCATATGAAGTGAATAACATCAATTACCGGTTGCCCTATTGACTTTAATATCTCAGCAGCTACACCATCTATACCTGGGGCTTTATTTTTTTTGAGACGATTTAGGGCGTGTTCTGCTAGGGCTAGACACAAGCATTCCGAGCTAGCAACGATTGACTTTTTGATTGACAGTTGATCGACGGCCTTCGCATGCTATTTGCAACGTTGTCAATATAATTATTTTATATAATTTTCTACTGAAGTGAGGCTTTGTTAGATATTCTTTTAGGGGTTCTGTGGTTTTGATTTTTTGGTTAGATTTTCTTTGTGGAGGGTGTTAAGCTTTGGTTTTTATATTTTAATAATTAACTGTGATTTTGCAAATATATTATTAGATTGGTTAGCATTTCGGTTGCTTTGGTTAGCCTTTCTTTGCGGAGGGTGTTAAGCTGTGGTTTTTATATTTTAATAATTAACTGTGATTTTGCAAAAAGATTATTAGATTGGTTAGCATTTGGGTTGCTTTGGTTTGGTTTGGTTTGGTTTGCGGAGGGTGTTAAGCTTTGGTTTTTATATTTTAATAATTAACTGTGATTTTGCAAAAATATTATTAGATTGGTTAGGATTTGGGTTGCTTTGGTTAGCGTTTCTTTGGGGAGGGTGTTAAGCTGTGGTTTTTATATTTTAATAATTAACTGTGATTTTGCAAATATATTATTAGATTGGTTAGCATTTCGGTTGCTTTGGTTAGCCTTTCTTTGCGGAGGGTGTGAAGCTGTGGTTTTTACATTTTAATAATTAACTGTGATTTTGAAAAAATATTATTAGATTGGTTAGGATTTGGGTTGCTTTGGTTAGGTTTTCTATGGTGAGGGGGGTTAAACTGTGTTTTTTTATATTTTAATACGAATCTGAGTGCTTTCAATGATTTGATTTTAAACACAGATTTTAAAATAATTCGTTTTCACCATGATCGGCACATAAAAAAATTGGCGTAAAATAGCGGCAACGTCACATGGGTTAATGCCATCATATATTTGTGCCATTTGTCAAAATTCCTCCGCAGCATCAAATAGTACCATCATTTTATTTCAATATTTTAAAATTTACTGGATAATCTGCATTTTACAATTTCAAATAAACTATATGCGAAAATGTCAAAATTTGACATATAATATGTTATTCTATTCAGAGTGCCATTTTCTATCGAATAAAGTAAAAAAATACCGAGGGTGGCTTAAAAAATCAAAAGTTGCAGTCATTTCCGGTGAAACAGGAAGTGATCGAAAACAATTGAATACGTCAATCAATCCTGATTTATGTCATATCTCTCGTTTTTTATCTGAAAAAATAAAAAAAAGTTATAGGAGTGAGCCACTTTTGTGAAACACCCGGTATAGGGGGTCAAAATTGCTTGGTAAAAAGGTTGAAACTAGATATAATGTTGTTTTCCCTGCTATTTGAAATTAAGCACCCTATAGTTTATAAAAAATAGAGAATTTGTCATTATAATTATTAGACTCATGTTGAGGAAAAAATTTGCGAAAATGTGGGTGTTTCACTTTGTAAGTATCCTAATCCCGTATAATCGAAAAAAAAAACAGAAATGATGATCGATAACATTCCTCATATAATAATTTTACATATAAAATTTAGTCGATTGTCATTTCTAAGGTAATTTGACGCCATTTTTTAGGATCAGATGGTATGTGTATTTATCATTAACGTTTCTATTTTCTATTTTTTAATAAAGACTTTTTTAACTTAATTAATCTTTTTATTATATACAGATATGAGGGCGGCAATTTAAAAATTCGCACCGGGTCGGCCGGGTGGCCAAAAGTCTAGCGACGGCCCTAAGTATGGTGAATTTAAAAATTATAGGGGTTACTTACATACATTTAATATTTCCTTCTTTAGACAAGAGGCACGTTAAAAATAGAATTATTAGAATTTAAAATAGTCGCAACATCATTTTAGAAATTTCTTTTTTCTGTGTTAATATTTTCTGTTAAATATAAAACTAAAAATATTTGCAATATCATTACAATTCAAAAACCTGAAAAAGTGGGGACCGTGTTCTCATATCCCATCCTAGCATACGCCACTGTTTTTTTTGTTAATGAAAAATAATCTATAATTAATATGTTGCCTATTTAGTTTATGACCAACGGTAATCTGATTAGCCTATGTTACCCCTGTATAATACAAAATTTTTGTTGAATATAAAAATAAAACATATTTAGTTTATACAGGGTGTTTCAAAAAACCTGTGCCATCTCTCGTGGGGAGATTCTTCACGTAAAAATAAGATTTATTATTTTATTCATATCTACATAGGATTCTGCTTTGTTTCGTAGCTACAAGGTGTTAAAGTCTTAATATATATTTATTTTTTAGATTTATTAAAATTTTCTTCCAAGTATACTTTTATTGTTTCGAATGAAATTTTAAGGGTAAAAGTTGCTATAAATGCGACATATTTTAAAGCTAAAAAAACGTCGATATATTCCCCAGAGACGTGCATATGGGTTATCACTGGAATATTTTTCTAAAAAAAGCATATACGCCACTGATTTTTTTTTCTCTCGTTAGCGAAATAGTGTAAGCAGTTTAATGCCGATTTTAAAGTTGTCTCTTGATATTTTGTCGATTTTGGCCTCCTTGGTGAGATAAACGCAAATTTATTAATTTGCCTTGATCCAAGTCTAATAGCAACCTTTAAAAATAAATATCATTAACTTGCGACAGTTTTAAATAAGTACTCATTGATTCCTCATCAAAAAATATTAAAAAAAGTTTCTATGAACATGGGTTGGTTTGGATGCCACATGGCATATATAGTTTTATATAAAACTATGCCATGTTTTATATAAAACTATGCCACAGGCATAGTTTTAGAGTTACAGGATGTTAAAATTTTTCAAATTGGGTTTTTTGTAATTATCTTAAATACCATTATTTTTTTATTTGAAATTGCTGTATGTTGGACTAATAGTAATAATATTTAATAATAAATTAGGTAAAATATATAATTTATTAATTTTATTTTAATTTTAATTTTATTAATTGTGATTAATAAAACATCTCATCAAGCAGGCCGAATTCGACAAAATATCAAGAGATAACTTTTAATTGGCATTAAACGGCTTACACAATAATTATGATATCAAAAGAAAATAAGTCAGTGGCGCACATGTTTTATTTTTCAAAAATATTCCAGTGATATCCATCCATATTCCAGTCCCTGATTTATTTATCGACACTTTTTAGCATTAAAATATATAGCACTTATAGTAACTTTTAATCACAAAATTTCGTTTGAATCACCAAAAGTACTTGGAAGAAAATTATAATAAATTGAAAATTTATTTAGATTTTGACACCCCGTAGCTACGAAAAAAAAGCAGAATCGCACCTATATGTTGATATGAAGAATAAATCTTATTTTTACGTAAGGAATCTCCACACGAGAGATGGCACATGTTTTTTGAAACAAGCTTTTTTAGCGGTTGTAATTACTGTTGTGTTACTGTGTTAATTACATGGGGTTGGTACCTTCCTGGTTCTCCGGTACCGAAATACCGTTTTTGTCACTTGCCTCGACTACCGCTAGTGGTCGACAACGCTCGGAGGCGGAGCCTAGAAACTGGACAAAACCGGCGCAATCTCGTGTCTCGGGCCAGTGCAGTACACAGGTGCAGTAGTTATTCGATACTTGCTCGTCACCGATCTGTTTCGTTTATTTAAAGTAAATTAAACATCATTTTTTAAAATGAGTGAACTTAGTGAAAAGTTGAGTGAGATTAATCCTAAAGACAACACACCGCCGAGTCTACCAAACGGTTCTGGGCCTTCTGGCGAACAAGAAAGTTTCCTCGGTGAAAAATCACAAGAAGCATCTGTTCCGACTTCAAACCTTGAGGGAAAGGCTGAGGAAAAAAATGAAGAATCCGGAAATGAAGATCGGGATACAGATAAGAATGAATGGGTCCCTCGTAGGGCTCGTAGGAACGTAACTTACGAATTCGAAGACGGCACCCATCACGTCTACACCGATGAAGAAGGCTTGAAGTTTTTCTGGGACAGAGAGAGGAATGGTTGGTTTCCAAAAGTGGATGATTTTATGGCTCATTATCAGATCAATTATGCATTTTACAATAAAACCAGCACAGAATCAAAAACTGATGCAACTTCCAATCTTCTAGAAGCAGCTCCACCGATTAAAGGGGAAAAAAGGAAAACTTCAGAACCAACTTGGACACAGAGAAAAGTTCATAGAGTGATGAGCGATAATGACCGGTTTGTGATCATAAAGAACCTTTTTGAACCTTCTCTGTTTGACCACGATGTCGGTCTTATCGTGAAATTCGAACAGGTGTTGACAGAGGAAATTAGGAAAATAGGACAAGTGCGAAAAGTGATGGTATACGATAGAGAGCCTGAGGGGGTAGCGCGAGTAGCGATGGCGACGACAGAAGAGGCCGATCAAGTTGTTATGATGTTGAACGGCGGATCGTTCATGAAAAGGCGATTAACAGCAAAAATATGGGATGGTAACACACGGTATAAATTTACCGAACAATATCCGCCAAAATCTTTTTTCTTGTAAATAGTATAATTATATTATTTTCATATAATTTTTTTATTAATTGAATTGTAATTTTGTTTCTTTTTGTTGAGAATAAATATATTTATTTCCTATTTTTTTTTACTTATTTCCTATTATTATTATTATAAGAAATCCTTTTAAACATAAAATTACTTTTTCCATTTAAAAATTTAAACAGGCTTATAACTTGATGCTTTCGAGTTTCTTGTTACCTGCTGCTTTTCTAACTGCATTCGTAAAATCTTCTTCTATAACATAATAATACTAATATATAATAAATATAATGTTTTTGAAGAGAGTAAGTTCTAAGGGTCTATGTGCCAAAAACCTGGAACCAAGATAATCAAAACTATCTTGATAAGCAGTAAACATCATTTTAGCAATAAATATCTATTTTTTAAGTAAAGTAGCTTCTAAAATTTTTATATTCCAATACTGCTTTTGATATATTATCTTTAATTCTGACACACATATGAAATTTTCCTTTGCAAAAGACACTGCAGCAATTTATTGTTAACAATAAAATTATCTTCGCATGTAGGACTGTAGGACAGTCCGCTTCGTTAGACGTTCCGGCAACGGTGTAGGCTCAGCGGGAATCAAAACAGCAAAAACACTGCGATAGGTCGACACCAAAAAAAACGTACCTATCTTTGCCAATACACTTTACGGGCCGATATGATACTTTTAACACCGGTTATTTCTGTTTGTAATGTACACAATCAATCAAATAACATTTAGTTATACAAGGGTTATACTTAGTTCATTTTACAATAAAGCCAGTACGGGATCAAAAACTGCAACTTCCAATCTTTTAGAAGCAGCTCCACCTGCTGAATCAAAAACAATTAAAGGGGAAAAAAGGAAAATTTCAGAACCAACTTGGACACAGAGAAAAGTTATTAGAGTGATGAGTGATAATGATCGGTTTGTGATTATAAAGAACCTTTTTGAACCTTCTCTGTTTGACCACGATATCGATCTTATGGTGAAATTCGAACAGGTGTTAACAAAGGAAATTCGAAAAATAGGAAAAGTGCGAAAAGTGATGGTATATGACAGAGAACCTGAGGGGATAGCGCGAGTAGCGATGGGGACGACCGAGGAGGCCGATCAAGTTGTTGTGATGCTGAACGGAGGATCGTTCATGAAAAGGCGATCAACAGCAGAAATATGGGATGGCAAGACTCGGTATAAATTTACCTCGGTATAATCACAACATATCAGCCAAAATCCTTTTTCTTGTAAATAGTATATATTATTTTCATTTAAATTTTTTTATTAATTGAAAATATCTACCTACCAAATTGTAATTTTATCTCTTTTTGTTGAAAATAAATGTATTTATTTCTTATTTTTTTATTTTTTTTCCTATTTATTATTATTATTATTATAAGAAATTCTTTTAAACATAAAATTACTTTTTCCATTTAAAAATTTAAACAGGCTTATACCACAGTTTAAAGATGTTTATATGTTTATATTGTAGAATTCAAATCAAGTACAAAGAAAAAAATCCATAAAAAAAATACATATAGCATTTGCATTCTACAAAAGGGCTGAAAAAACAGCAAAACTGATACAGTGAGAGCTCTCATAAACGGACACTGACTGTACCAGTAATTTTTTCCGCTTGTTGGAGATGTCCGCTTAAAAGATAGGACTAAGAAATAATATAGGTATGTAATATAAAAATACAAATAAATATGATACTAATGATTGTATATACATATATAATATGTACATACATATATACAACGACAAAATATCAAAACAAACGCGAAGCATACTAGATAGGAGAATAACCTAATATAAAACGGGGAATTCCCGACTGTAATGTATGCGGACATGAAAAATTGTCCGGTTATTAGAGTTCCGCGTTCACTTATAGGAGATTTTTAGTCGCATACCGGAATAATCTAGTGTCCGCGTCCGTTTAAAAGAGCGTCCGCTTAATGGATAGCATTTAACATTGAAAATCATATGCTGAAATTCGGTTCCAAGAAACTTTGCCGGTTAAGGAAGATGCTACTGTAATTTTGGAGTTACGATTTTTTAAAATTTTTAACCCCCTCCCATACCCCCTTACCAACCCCTAACCTCCACCAAAAACTAATGGCCAGATTCTCGGGTGCCACAGTATTTTCGTGCCAAATTTGGTTAAAATCGGTTCAGCGGTTTTTGAGTTATCGTGTTACAGACAGACAGACGGACAGACAGTCAGACAAACAGACAGACAGACAGACAGACACCATGAAAATATTTTGTATTTAGGTCATTTATGACCCAAATAACTCATTTTGAGTGAAATTAAAAAAACTTTTTTTTGCCGATCCTAATAGCCTACCATATACCTATTGGTCGGCTAAAAATAAATAAATAAAAACCATATGTACAGGGTGGGTCAAATTCGACGCTTTTAAATGGAAACACCCTTTTCTATAGGAGATAGACGAAAACTAATATCGGTGTCTGGAACTCAATTTTCTTCAAAAACATGATGGTGAAAACCGATTTTTTAAAATTTTAACCCCCTCCCATACCCCCCTTACCAACCCCTAACCTCCACCAAAACTAATGGCCAGATTCTCGGGTGCCACAGTATTTTCGTGCCAAATTTGGTTAAAATCGGTTCAGCGGTTTTGAGTTATCGTGTTACAGACAGACAGACGGACAGACAGTCAGACAAACAGACAGACAGACAGACAGACACCATGAAAATATTTTGTATTTAGGTCATTTATGACCCAAATAACTCATTTTGAGTGAAATTAAAAAAACTTTATTTGCCGAAAGCACCTTTTTACCATATATTTAATGGTTAAGTATATTAAAAATAAATAAATAAAACCAGAGTTGTCAGGGTGGGTCAAATTCAATTTTTAAATGGAAACACCCTTTCTATAGGAGATAGACGAAAACTAATATTACCTTTCCCAAAATATAGCACACTTGATATTTTGTTATAATCCCCTTCGAAATACAGAATTTTTAAAAGTTTACCACTTTTAACTAGTAGGCTTTGGACCCCTTATTGATGATATGCCCTTAATGAAACTGGAAAACATGTTTTTCCAGCAAGACAAGGCACCGCCTCTGAACGCTGAAGTTATTAGCAAATTTTTGCAGCCAATTTCAAGAATAATTGAATAGCTAACCAAGATCCCAGCCGTTGGCCGTCGAGGCCGCCTGAATTAGTGCCCACAGATCTAATCCTATGGATATATTTGCGGAAGAATAAATGTTCCTTATTCTTCCGTATAATCTAGACAAGAATTAGAAATACTTAGCAGTTATGAGAGGGTATCTTTCACCCCCCAATGAGCTAATGAATTCCGCGAGCAATGTTTAAAAAACTACCGTCTGTCCATAACAGAAGAAGTTATTGTTTTTAACATATAGTTGTAACTGTGTTGATGTTGGTTAAATTTTGTAATTGTTGAAAACTCTATTTATTTTCTCTCTTAGCAAATATTATTTTCGTTTTAATTGATGCTCACAGCTAGAATTTTTTTGTATTACAGCCGGTGCCGTTCAAAGCCTACTTATTTAAAGCGAGCGAATTTTTATATACTCTATATCTCGAAGAGGAATCGAGCAAAATATCAAGTGTGTTATATTTTTGGAAAGGTAATTTTAACTTATTTTCAATAAATGAAAAATATACAGGGTGTCCCATATAAAAAATCAAATTTTCTGTTGATAATTCTTAAATTATTAATTTTAAAAAAATTATACTTAAACCATTAAATTCTACGTAAAAAGGTGCTTTGGAAATGTTTTCATAAAAATACAAAATTTTCCATAGCAAAAAAGCTACAGCGATTTTTTAAAAATGCATATTTTTGAAAAACACCCCGTAACTCCGAAACGGTAACAGATATCGATATGCGGTTTTCACCATCATGTTTTTGGCAAAAATTGAGCTCCAGACACCGATATTAGTTTTTAACTATCTCCTATAGAAAAGGGTGTTTCCATTTAAAAGCGTCGAATTTGACCCACCCTGTACAGGGTGGTCGAAATTGGTCTGTTTTAACAGAGAAAATCTATTTCCTGACTAGATAGAGCAAAACCGACATAGATGTCATGGGCTCGATTTCTGAGACACTTTTAATGGCGTAACCCGCCTGTTGATATTTTCACTGCCAACTGAGAAAGGGGTCTTTTTGAATTTTTTACCATTTGGAAAATTGCCCATAACTTTTGTATTTCGCGGAATAATAAAATTCTGTAAAAACTTTCTTAAGGCACTTTTTTATGCACAATCCAGTGGCGTAGTTAGTTCTTTTCTATATTTGCTCTTTTTGTCAGAAATAATAAAAAATATAATTTTTTAAATGGAAATCATAGTTGACTATGCACTTAAAAAAATGATAGCTTTTAACCCTTTCCAACGATATAAAGTTATGGGTATCGATTTCTAAGAATGAGAGAAATATTAGGTTTTTTATCTTTGTATCGAAGCGGGCCTTGATTTTATGTTGACCTAGTTGCCTAATTATTTTTTATCACAATTTAATATTCTATATTATTATTTATCTGCATAATTAAAGACTTTTGAGCGTAAATCAACATTCTATATTAGTATTACCAATTACAATTAAAACGCCAGGGTTACAACTGAAATATTAAATGGAGAATTTAGAGAGAATTGGATTTGAACAAGGGGCTCATATCTTGGTCTGCTAGATCCTGTGATTTAACTCCTTTCGCCTTTTTTATGGGAGAAATTAAAAGACCTTATATATAAGGGAAGAACCATTGGGACGAGAGAAGAATTGCAGAAGGTCACTAGGCAAACTTTTGATGGACTTATTACACCAGTTCGCCTAATAAATCGTTCTAACTCTTGACGATTTCAATGACTTTTTTTACAAAACTATATTCGTCACTCAAAAATACTTTTTAGTTTTGTAATTGTATAGATTTCAATTGTAATTACTAATACTTATATATAATGTTAATTTACCTTCTCAAAAGTCTTTAATTATGCAGATAAATAATAACATAGAATATTAAATTGTGATAAAAATAATTAGTCAAATAGGCCAACACAAAATTAAGGCCCGCTTCGATATAAAAATAAAAAACTTATATTTCTCTCATTGTTAGAAATAGATATCCATAACTTTATATCGTTGGAAAGGATTAAACGCCAGCAGGGGTGGATGGGGAAGTGGAAGCCGGCCCGGGAATAACAGGTAACCGGCCCAAATCCACAAAAACAAAATGACTATAACGAAGAAGCATATTTTATTTATTAATATACAGGGTGTCCTAGAAATAAGAACAAGTATTTTAACTGGTAGTATAGTTTAACCCCAGAAATAGGCCTATGAGGTTTTTTTGGCGAAAAAAAAAATTTAAAATTCGAAATTTTTTGAATTTTTTTTAGTATTTAGTTTAAAACATAATTTCTTGATAATATTGCAACTTATATTATATTAGATTAAATTTACAAGAAAGAAAATTCAGAAAAAATCTAGTGGTTCTCAAAATTTTAGCAAAAATATTTTTTTTGGAAATTTTCAAAGTAAAGTAACTCCCTTATTTTGGACTGGAAAATATACCACCCCTTAAAATACTTGCACTTATTTCTGAGACACCCTGTATAAGTAAGGGTGTTTTTCGCTCGTGCGTAAAAAGCTTTTTTGCCTCCGGTTTTTTAAAAAAATTGAAATTGTCTTGCTCAAATTTTCAAAAGATCAATTTTACAGGGTTCTACTGCTTTATTTCTCAGGCTCAGTTTTACAAGGTCCTACTGCTTTGTTTTCATTATCGATAACGGTAATTTGATCTTGAATAGGCACGATTTTGAGAAACTTTAAGACTTCCTGATTCATTCAGTTCAGCTGACCCAATCCTCTGTGAAATACATTATTTTTAGTTTTTCAGGTATATACTTTCTTACACATTGTAGAAAGAAGTTCTCTCTTTTCTGGTAGAGCAGCAGCCTCGTCGTGTTTTTAACTGAATGAACCGCGGTCGCCATTAAAACTGCTGCAATTTTTTAAGTTATTATATTAGTTCTTATCTCTTTTCCTGTACACTTTCCTATATTTGGCATCTTGTATGATAATACCATGACTCAAACGAAAAAAACCTAGACCTAGGCAGTGGATATAAATGTGTTGTGAGGTAATGCTATGTTATAGTTAGGGATGTGCCACTTGAAAATTTCAAATGAAATTTTCCTGTCGCCAACTTTTCCAATGTGAAATTTTCACTATTTTAAAAAAGTGAAATTTCATTGAAATTTCAAGTTAAAATTTCAATTCGAATTTTTCAGCACAGAGGTGAAATTTTCAGAAATGTATCGTGAAATTTCAAGTGAAATATTCATAAACCTCGCGAATTCCTTTATCGTGTTCGTATGTACCGTATCGACGTAGTAGGTATCGATTGTTGATTTGCTCGATTTGGTTGCGCGTCTGAGGACCGGCGCTTGATCTTGACAAATGAAAAACCGCAGTAGATAGATAGAGGTTATGATTTTCGTTGAAAATATTGATGTATTATT